AAAACACATAACTAAATTTTTCTTCTTAATTTTTGTCGTTCCCTAGAGGTACCTAGTATATACCGAAGCCATACTAAAGCCGGAATAGTTTTTTCTTTTATACAAAGGTGAATTCAATTTCATTGCATTTTTTCATTTGTTGATTTTAAAATTAAGCTTTGATTTGTCAGTTATTTAATATAATGACATTCAATTTTGCTTTATACCTTACTTTTGGTAAATGTAAATTGTAGGTTGTATCTTAACCAACTAAACCATTTAACTAATTTTTGCACAACTCTAAATTAAAAATAAATCTTTTTTTACTAACATACCTAGCTATACCCGTGCTTTACTTTTTTTAGATTTTACCGTATTGACGTACCCGTACTCGTACCCATACACATGCTTTATAGGGTGGAAGACATAAGGTAAGATACCTCAAGGTATAGTATCAAGGCTAGAGTCTCAAGTCTCTATTCCTTCTGTCTTTTGTCCGGTGTAATGTGAGAGAACAAGGATGTTGTGGAAATTTTTTATTGGACTTCAGTGGTTATTATGGGGAATTATTTTTGTCCAAGAAGCACGGGTGGAGTGTGTTCAAGAGGCTAAATTAGTTCATGCGAACAAATGTAACGCAACACATGCAAACGTATTCTTCTTTAATTAGGAATGTTTTCCTGTTGTTTCTTTTCATGCAACACATGTACTGGCATTTCTTTCTTTTTTTCTAATCTCAGGGAAATTGTATTCTTCTTTGATTGTTTTCCATTCTTTTACTGACGATGAGTATAATGGCAACCAAAAAAGTTGCTACGACAACATAAAACTTTAACAATCATGTTGAAGGACAGGAAGAGTTGCTTGTCAACAATTTATCATGGTACTAGAGCATGTAATAGATCATGTCTTTGAACCTCAACACTTACCCGATAATTATAATACTTGCACCTCTTTGGCCTGCTTTTGGAGGAGAGTTTGGGCACATGTGAGGGGCTTGTTGAGGATATAATTTATAAATAGTGAAGTCACCACTTTCTCCAACAGTTTAAGCTTTTAGATGAGTTAACATTTATCAAATCATTTTGTTGAGTTTTAAAGGGTTGCACAATAGAAATTTGTCACAGTTTAAGCTTTTAGATGAGTTAACATTTATCAAATCATTTTGTTGAGTTTTAAAGGGTTGCATAATAGAAATTTGTCATACTTCAAAAGAGGGGTATGGTTTAGAATATATATATAATCTATATATAGTATAATAAATAGAAGAGTTTATTAAATAGCTTATTAGTTGTAGTATATAAATAGGTGATGTAATACTACTCATGCAACGATATGTAAGGAATAGGTGCTGCATTTCCTTACTCGAGAACAAACATGAGTCTCTCAACTTAGCAATCTACAAATACATTGAACTTCATCCTTGCATTCTTGGCTCAACAACCATATGTGTGTGATAGTTGCCAAAATGTAGACATTTAGGCCGCTTAAAGTATACTTGTTAGGTCCTTTAATCATTGTTACTTGATGATTTTAATATGTTTGCATATGTGCAGGTCACTCAAGTTTATGAGTAGAAATTGGACTTAATTTCATATTTGAAATCTGAGACCAAGCTTGAACCCAGCTCTGAAGGCCTAGAAGAATCTAAATAATTTTAATCAAGCAATAAAAGCCCAACCCATGAGATTTGAAGAAAGAAAAGTTAAAATTGTTACAATCCCGCTATAGAAGTCACTCTGCACAGCCTTCAGTATTTTGAATGTATCTCTCTAGTCCGATATCAGATTTAAGTGATTCAAGCGGCATTGGAAAGATAACTCAAAGGGCTACGATTTTGTGTGAAATAGGAATTTTCAAATTCTGACTTTTAATAGGTCAAAACAGGCCAACAAGATGAGCCTAAAATGCTAAGAATAATTACATCCGAATTTTCCTATCATTTTCGGAAATTCTAACCTCTTGGGTACTACTTAGAAGGCTCCTAATGTCTATAAATATAAAACCCTATTCATTATTAGGATTGTTCTTGATTTTAGAGAGAGAAGGCGGAGGCTACGAAGACATGTGCGGCTAAGCAGCTCTCCTCTTAGGGTTTGGATGAAACTCTAGTCAAGTAACAACGTTTTGTATTTAGTTTGGGGTTTTTATTATTGATTCAACAATTGTATAAGAGGTCTTTTCTATATTATGACTTTGTTTTGAATCTTTCTATCCGGCATATGTTCTTAATTTTTGTGACTCTAATTGCATACACAACAGTTTTCATTGATTTGCTTTTATTCAATTAAGACAGTCTATGCTAGGAGAGACGATTCATGTTAGTACTAGATAGTCTATGTTAATCATTAAACTGCCAATTATCCTCTAGACGATACTGTTGGGACTTGTAGTCACTAACGGATCATAGTTGAGTTGAATAATAAATCTGTAAACTGTTACAGTTCATTGATTACAAAGTTATGGTGGATTCGAAACCCCGAGTCTCTTATATTTGATTGATACTAGTTTAATTATATTTATTTCTTTAATTTAATTAAGCTCGTACAAAATTCTTCTTTTCTTCTTTCAAATTGATTTAAGAATTAATCTGAACTTTAAACAATTTAGCCTTTTAGTCCCTATGGATCGATACCCAAACTAAATCACTATTCTATTGAATTAAGGTATTAGTACGGATTTATTTTTGGTGTGCAAAACGACTTACCAATGTGTCCATATCCTCTCGCTAAAAAACTCGGATAGACCCCCATTTCCAAACCCCTTCACCTCTAACCTACATACTCGTGCAGAAGAGTACTCCTTCTCTCAGAATGAGATCAATGCTTGGCAAATGACATCTTCCAAAGCAAAGCTAAGAAGATTGACACAATGATAGGATGGACCATGTATCCACTAGGCAAAACCATGAGAGTAGTTGATCACGAGCGGGAATTTGGCATTGCACGAGTTCTTTCTTTCCTTCCTTGGCACAAATGTGAACTGAGCACACAAAAAGCAACCTACTCAACTCAAAACAACTTCGTAAAGAGGTATGAAAGAGTCCTGACGATAAACTTCAAATAATTTCTTTGAAGCTGTCAAAAATTTCAATGGCGGCTTGCGATGTGACAAGTCATCTACTCATTTGCTTCAACTCATCTTTTTTATTATGAATTTTGATTTGGAAGTGTCCCTACCAATTGAGAACTTCATCTCAATTTCTTGACCCTAAGTCGGAGCATAAGCTCTACCATGGCCATCTTGATGACCTCGATCCCAATTAGCCATAACCAAACAACCCAATATGACCCACAAATAGTCTAGATATGCCGATCACAGAGATCACAGTTTCAGACCCAATTTCACAATTGACAACAACTCAATTCAATATCTATTCACAGCACTATGTAGCAACAAATAATCAAGATCCAATCCAAGAAAAAAAATCAAGAATAAGATAGCCACATCGCGAATTGATTCAGGACAGTTCCAATTGAGAAGAAAACTGAGTCAACATACCATAATTGAATTGAGTCATGTCAATCAACTTGAAAAACAGAACTAGGTCAGATTTTGAATCACTTCTAAACTATGAGATCAAATTTTTGAGTAGATTTTTTTGGTAATCTGCAGTTGCAACTTCAAAAGAAGACGAGTTCACTACTCTTGACATCAACTCGTAGAGGGTTGAATCACAACTTGCAATTGATTGTTGAAATCAACTCACTGCTTCAAACCCAAGATGTAGAATCGACATGGTACAGGGAGTCCAAGGGAGTTGGTTCACGAAGAGTTGTGATACCTAATTCAGCGACGAACTGAAGTCGAAGGACCAAACGCAGATCGAATCTCATCTTGCAAGTCAAATTGCCAGGCCAAACCGAAATCGCAAGACCAGTCGAATTCGAAGTCTACGAACTTGACTCAATAAAAGGATTCAAGAACTCCAGCAAACGCGAACTCAAATCAAAGTGCTAGGTTGCAATCGTGATGAACAATAGCAACATCAAGTTTGCAATGGGTCTTCAAATCGCGATGGGCTTCAACTTAGACTTGAAAGAGATTCTAGGTTTGAACTTCAAACCAGATGCGACCCAGAATAACTGAACAAAAAACAAAAAATCCCTCTTTCGTCCAGTGGAGTCAACGAAGCAATCTGGTCAAATCGTAATTTCCACTTAGACTTCAGAGAGAGATGGTTATTCCCTGGTTTCGTGACATATTCAAACAAATGAAGGGCTTCGAACTGAGATCTGAACTCGAACGAAGGCTTCGAGATCTTGTGATGTTGAATCACCAACGCAAAAGGTCCAAACGCAAGTCGCGACTACCAATTCTAGGGTCAACTCTTGATTGCGATGTCAAATCTATGGCTTCGAATCAAATCGATCACACTTAGTGAGATGATCTAGGGCTCACACCCAAGAATTAGGGTTTAGATCTAGAGTCAGTATGTTGCTCCTTTCTAATTGAGAAGCTTTATGTACAATTAGAAACAATGAAGTACAAGATCTTATGCTCTGATACCAAATAATGAAATCCAAATGCCAAATCAAGATCAAATTGAGAGAGAGAAGATAAATGCCCCAATTAGGGGTAAAACCCCTAAGGGCTAGAGAGAGAGAGACTAAGCTCTACTCCAATCACAATATATATTCTTTATTCCAAAACTAAATACAATGGGTATTACATCACCTGTTTATATACTACAACTATGAAGCTATTTAACAAACTCTCCGTCTATTTATTATACTACATCACTAAAAAATTGAAATACAGTACATTCTAGACCAAATGAAGCCAATTACTTTGGGTAAACAAGTCTTCATTATATAAACATAATGGTAGTAGGACATATAGGGTTGTGCATCTCTTCACTTAGCCCAAAACTGAAAAGAATTGAATTGACCAACATTGAAAAGTGATGTAACAGGAAGGAACCAGCTCCAAGCTGACATCAAACACAAGTCAATTCCATAAGATATCAAACACCAAAAAAAGATCCTAACATTGCAATACTAAAGCAGAAAAACACTTACCACCGATCCATATAAAGTGAGGTTTTTTTTGATTTTTTTTTTTTTTTGAATTTTAAGGTAGAAGACATTTTTCCTCCCAGTTGGTAATAATTTCATCCCCTAAACCAATTTCAGAAGCAGTCCAATGAGATATTCCATCCATAAATTCAGAAGCAACATATGAAACTAGGTAGTAAAATGTTTTATAAAATTATGGCACTTGCATACAAAATGATAGTAAACCCATGCTCCAACAGATGTAGAAAAACGATAAAGAAGGATAAAGAGGAAGAGAAGAGAAGTAAGAAGAGTATGAAGAGAGGAGAGAAAAGGGAAACAGTTCCAAAGAAAAATCAAATATATTCAATAATCAATATCCAAATCAAATCCGGAAATTCATTACACCAAATCAAACTAATAAGAAGAACAATCAAATATATTCCCCATCACCAACAATTTAGCTAGCAATAAAAACTCAATTGAAGAATAATGAATCTAACACAAGTCATAATGCTAAGTTTTCCTCTCATAAGAAGGGTAACTAGGCCTTTATGTAGGAGGATTATTCAGCGTTGAATGAGTATTGAAAATTGAGTAGTATTTGAGTATTTTAGGGTTTGTTTTGTTTTCTGTGTGGTTTATTCTCTTTCTTCGGTATTACTATTCTTCTTTTCCAATTGTTCTACATCACTTAGCCCCAATTAACTGGCTTCAGGTACACGAATTTATTTTCTCCTATCCACTCTATTCCAATCCATATTCTTAATTAAGTCTAAAGCAATCATGTAATTTGTCATCGCCCCATCCTATGTCACTCTTTTTTCTTTTTTCTTTTTTCTTTTTTCTTTTTTTTCTCATCCAGTGGCGGAGTCAGGAATTCAGTAAAGAGATGGCACAAATTAATGACAACATTAATTTTGTTTTTTTCTCATAATAAACAACAATGACATATTACCAAACTTAAATATTAAGAGTCCATTTGGATAAATGTGAATTTTAAATTAAAGGATTTGAGGTTAAATTTTATGCAAAAATTGGGGAGTAACTATTTCAGGTGGATTGAAGAAAAAAACAAAAAAAAAAAAGAAGAAGAAGAAGAAGAAGATAAGTTGAGATACAAATGATATACTCTAGTAGAGAAATTCTATAAAAACACACCGCAAAAAAGTGCCTATCATATGCCGCAGTTATGATCTTTGTAGTCATTAGTTATGACACATTGTAGTATTGGATATAATTTAATTATAACTTCTTATGGTTGTTATTTTGGTTATGACTAAAGAGGTCTTTGGTTATATATCAAGTAATGGTTAGTTATGACTCATTCTGATATTAGTTATAACCTTTCTTTTTTTTTCTTTTTTGTTATGATTGAAAATGTGTTACATGGTTATAATTTATATAGTGGTCATTTTAGTTATGAATGAAATAATTTGGTTATGAAAATTTACAATATCAATACCATAAAGTCATAACTTGTATATGGTACACCCTTTAAGAGGTGTATAATAGAAAGACTCATTTTAGTGGGTTCCTTGTAATTAAAAGGAAAATTTATAATAGAGAAACTATTACAATTTTAAGAAGGGATATTATTTTAATTTGATAGAGGATATATATGATATAATCTATATATATATAGGGGTACTAATATAATTATCAAAACTTCAGGGGCACATGCCCCATCTGGCCCTACACTAGCTCCGCCCCTATTCCCATCCTATGCCACTCTTGACCTTCCTCTTTTCTTTTTGGCACCATGGAACTAGATCAGATCACTCTTTACAGCAACATTAATTGGTCAACGTTAAACAACTATTGCTCATTGTATCTTCAAGAAGTGCCACTCTAAATTATGCAATACAGAGACAAGAAGACTTTTCCATCCTCTTCATTTAATTCTAAAGCTGGAGAAGGACAAAAATCTAAGCCCTATTTTTATTTCTTATCATTTCTTCTCCTTTGGAGAGAGCATGAAATTATAAAATCCACACAGGTTATAAGATTTTTGGTTGTTATGGATCATATCACCAATATTACCGGTGAATGCCTGTATTTTCTACAACCAGATTTTTGTCAAAGGTTGCAAGGGTTTCATATTGAAAACATTTCAAGATTTTTGTACAACTAAACAGGCCAACAACTTTGATTTTTGTTATGTGATAGAAATTGAAACCTTACAAAGAATATGTAGCACCATATGAGAATACAGAGCAAAATAAAAGGCAACAGATTAAAAAAAGACTACTATACAATGCACATCAAATCCAAATACCTGAAAAAGAAGGATAATAATGACAAGAAAAACTCCAACAGCCATTGAACTGCTATAATAGAAGGGAACCCAACTGCTGACCACTGGTGCCAACAGCAATAAAACAAAACCAAAAGCAAGACAAAAGAGATGCCATCTTTGAAACTCTGCACAAACCACAAAAGCCAAAGACAAACATCAAAAGATGGAGGGAGACAAACAGAGATAAATTAAACCCAAGCACCAGGAGATAAATCCCTGACCTTTATCAACTGTTACCGTCACATAACCAGCAATTTTATCAACAAACTTCATGTCAACATATCTGTCCTCATAAGGTGACATTACAGAGCTCCAGAGCTCCTTGTGGATAGTTTTCCATTCATCCGTTTCACATTGACATAAACCACGTGAAGCATTCCTACAAAACTTTCTATGTGAGATACTATTTTCAATCAACATAACTATTGCGTTGAACTATCAGCTACGTTACATGGACTCTTTGTATTTTGAGAGGTACCCATGTCATATAATTATCAAAACTTCAGGGGCACATGCCCCATCTGGCCCTACACTAGCTCCGCCCCTATTCCCATCCTATGCCACTCTTGACCTTCCTCTTTTCTTTTTGGAACCATGGAACCAGATCAGATCACTCTTTACAGCAACATTAATTGGTCAACGTTAAACAACTATTGCTCATTGTATCTTCAAGAAGTGCCACTCTAAATTATGCAATACAGAGACAAGAAGACTTTTCCATCCTCTTCATCATTTAATTCTAAAGCTGGAGAAGGACAAAAATCTAAGCCCTATTTTTATTTCTTATCATTTCTTCTCCTTTGGAGAGAGCATGAAATTATAAAATCCACACAGGTTATAAGATTTTTGGTTGTTATGGATCATATCACCAATATTACCGGTGAATGCCTGTATTTTCTACAACCAAATTTTTGTCAAAGGTTGCAAGGGTTTCATATTGAAAACATTTCAAGATTTTTGTACAACTAAACAGGCCAACAACTTTGATTTTTGTTATGTGATAGAAATCGAAACCTTACAAAGAATATGTAGCACCATATGAGAATACAGAGCAAAATAAAAGGCAACAGATTAAAAAAAGACTACTATACAATGTACATCAAATCCAAATACCTGAAAAAGAAGGATAATAATGACAAGAAAAACTCCAACAGCCATTGAACTGCTATAATAGAAGGGAACCCAACTGCTGACCACTGGTGCCAACAGCAATAAAACAAAACCAAAAGCAAGACAAAAGAGATGCCATCTTTGAAACTCTGCACAAACCACAAAAGCCAAAGACAAACATCAAAAGATGGAGGGAGACAAACAGAGATAAATTAAACCCAAGCACCAGGAGATAAATCCCTGACCTTTATCAACTGTTACCGTCACATAACCAGCAATTTTATCAACAAACTTCATGTCAACATATCTGTCCTCATAAGGTGACATTACAGAGCTCCAGAGCTCCTTGTGGATAGTTTTCCATTCATCCATTTCACATTGACATAAACCACGTGAAGCATTCCTACAAAACTTTCTATGTGAGATACTATTTTCAATCAACATAACTATTGCGTTGACCTATCAGCTACGTTACATGGACTCTTTGTATTTTGAGAGGTACCCATGTCCACACGACACAACACAGGTACGGAATACGGCCAGGATACAGCTAAATACAAATAGATACGGTTGATTTTCTTTTCTATTTTTCATGCCAGCAACAAAGGAGGATAGAAAGAGAGAGAGAGAGAGAGAGAAACATGGCTCACGATCTCATCATCGTCGTCGTCGTCGTCGCCGTCCGTCATCTCCGTATTCTGTATTCAACTTCCTTGATGGCTGCTAGGGTTGTATTAAAGGGTTTGGTGCATTTGGGCTTATTTAGAATACACTTTGGTTAGTAAATAAAATGGGGCTTATAAGAAACATTATAAGGCTATTGGGATGGCTGGCTTTTAGAGCATCTCCAACGTTGAATCAAAAATTTCATCAAATTTTAAGTTTGATTTGAAACCGTTCACGCCAATACTAAAACCAAAATTTTCATCAGATTTTTCACATCCCCGGTTGTCTGGGAGGACATCCGGCGGATGTCCTAAACGTCGTCCGGACATGAACAAAAAAGGCTGTCAAAGTTGCTCTTGGGTGGACATCCGGGAGGATGTACAACCTAACGGTAACAATTTAAATTTGATGAAAGATGAAAGCCTCCCTTCATTTGATGAAAGTTTTGGTTCATCACTCATTTGATACAAGCTTGATGAAAGGGTTGGAGGTTCAACAGTTGTCGTTTTTCATCAAATTTAAATTTGATGAAATATTAGATGCAGCGTTGGAGATGGTCTTACATGAGCTTCTCATGTTTGAGATTAATACTAATTAAGGAGTTGGAATTTAACTTATGTCCATGGAAAATAAATTATTCATTTTTTTTAATAACGTTATATATAATTTTTATTCAATATTTTTTAACTACAAATGTGTAGCATCATCATAAAAATATGTAACCATTCTGAACCATAAATTATTGTAACTTCGTCAGAAAAATACATAATATTTTTTTGACACATCCACGTTTAGCCATATCCACGTACCCGTGTCTAATTTGGGTACTTTTTAGACGTACTCACGTATCCCTCATTTAGAGGTTTGCAGAGTCCGACCCCTAGATACATACCCGCACCCAACACTTGTACCCGAGTCCATATAACGTAGAGTATCAGGGAGAGAAAGAGGGTCGAGGTTAAAGAGTCAAAATTCAAGGACATTTCACTTACTGGTGAAAACAAATCTGAATTTTGTTGTGCAACCTCTCAGGAATTACTGTAGATGGGACCAATTTAAGCTGATATGCACTGGCATAACTCCCAAGTTCCAATCTTGATTAATCAACAACTCCAATGCATTCACACAATAAAACATCTTTGGAACCATGAGAAGATGACATATAACCAGTGAGCGGAGATGGAGTGACATCAATAACAGGATTTTCCAAATCAATGCCTGTATTATTAACATTTAGAGATAATTAATTATCAAAACGAAATTTATTACCAACAAAAAAAGGGAACATTGGAAGTAAGTAGCAAAAACTGAGATAGAAAAGAAATGACGTGTTCTAGAAATTCCATGATTGACATCATGCAACACATCCCTTAAATTAGTATTTCCCGCACCACATTACTCGAATGAACCACAAATTCAGCCTTTGGAGTGACATATTCTCAAAATGTCATATTCTAGTTGGACAAGCCCAACCACTCGAACAAAAGTTAATTATGTTGTTGTTGACCTAATACAAACTCTAATTCTATTAACAGTTGTGAAATTTCCAAGTTACAAAACTTGGGAGATCTCATGTAAATGAAACTCCTTTACCTACATAAAGCACATTTAATATAACCATGAGGTTAAAACATTCATCTCATGAATCACACCCATTATCTATGAAAACCTATGAAGCACATGCACTCCATCTAGCCTAACGTATTAGTGTCCAACACGTCTAGGACATGGACAAGTTCGAACACATGGCAAACACATGTCACACATGCCCTCTCTTATGTCCCACTTTTGTTCACTTCTTTTAGTTGCTGGACACATCTCCAACACTCTCCAAACACTTCTCGGACACGATGATGGCCAAAAATAAAATAAAATAAAAAAATCACTAATTTTATTCATGCTACCTGTAGGAACTCTAGATCTATGATTCACAGAGAAAGAAAAGAAGGAAGAAGTCACACAAGAGACAATAACAGTATAAGAAGAAGCATACTTACTTGGTTCATGTTCGTCTTCTTCGACAAAGGCATCCTAGGTTCAGATTCATTTTTTATTTTTTTCCACTTATTGGGGTAGGCTCTCTTTTTGTTGATCTGTTGTACATTGTTATGGGCTTTGTGGGCGTTTTATTCTAAATTGCCACAGACCCAATTCATTGTGCATGGCTTTCTACTTGGACTACATCAAGCAGGTTTAAAAATCAAGCCCATCATGTCAAAGCATGATGTGGAAAAAACTATATTGAAAACCAATCCAAGAAAAGAAATAAACAAATAGTTTATTATAAATAAATCTTATCCAATAAAAAATAAATAAAACACAATATTGATTTAGTATTTTCTAAATTCATGAATTTTGTAATATATATGACATAAATATATAAAAATATTATTTTTTCATGTATCCCCCAACATGCCGTGTCTTGAAATTTTGAAAAATTGTCGTATCGGCGTATATGTGTCATATTCGTGTCTTATGTCCCTGCTTCTTAGATGAAAACATTCAAATAATAAAGCATGAACATAACATTTATTCCAATAAATAAATAATCAAATACATGAATCTAATTGGCTTAAAAACATATACCCTATGAAGCACCAATACTCCAAATATGTGTTATAGTAGTGCCAGAGACAGGGACACAGAGGGGGACTCATGTGTCCCTTTATTTAATTACATTTTTTTCAAGGAACACCCCAACTAGTTTTTTATCCCCTTTTCTTAGTTCTTTTTATGCATGTTGGATGTTGAATGATTATTACTTTTTGCTTAAATTTAAATAATTAATAGATGTTGATGAGGTGGTGAGGTTTCTTTGCAATCTCGTTTTCCATTGATTTTTCATATTGCCATTGATCAAGAGGTTGTGGTGGCGTCTTATCTAGATGGGGTTGGAGGTGCGGTGGTTTGGGATATTATATTGCACCGGCAGGTTCAAAATTGGGAGGTTGGGTGTAACGCCCTCAAAAAAATAACATTAAACCCATCAAATAAGACATGCATTGATATGTAAAAGTTCCCCCTTCTTCCATATATCAGAATTTCATTACATAAGTATTACATGTTAACAACAAAAGCAAATGCCCTATGGGCTTATAGCTTTCCAAGTTAACACTTGGTTACAACAAAGCCAATACTCCAAATATGTGTTATAGTAGTGCCAGAGACAGGGACACAGAGGGGGACTCATGTGTCCCTTTATTTAATTACATTTTTTTCAAGGAACACCCCAACTAGTTTTTTATCCCCTTTTCTTAGTTCTTTTTATGCATGTTGGATGTTGAATGATTATTACTTTTTGCTTAAATTTAAATAATTAATAGATGTCGATGATGTGGTGAGGTTTCTTTGCAATCTCGTTTTCCATTGATTTTTCGTATTGCCATTGATCAAGAGGTTGTGGTGGCGTCTTATCTAGATGGGGTTGGAGGTGCAGTGGTTTGGGATATTATATTGCACCGGCAGGTTCAAAATTGGGAGGTTGGGCAGCTGGTGGATTTACTGAGTTTCTTGTATGGGGTGTAGGTTTGGGGGGGCTGAGGGAGGATGCCTTGGTGTGGGGGGTCAGGTGCAAAAGGTGTTTTCTCGATTTTGTCATTCTACTGAGCTTTGTCT